TGAGAAGGCAGGACGGAAGATGCAGACACGGGAGGCTAGAGGAGGGAAATGGCTTTCTGTTAGATGGCTTGGGGAAGTGGGGAGGGGCCGAGTGCAAGATCAAGTACAAAGGCCTGGGGGGGGGAGGGAGGGAATGAGGCTGTGTTAGGCGGTGGAAAGAGCAGATGGATGACCAGAGTGGCTGGGGGGAGTGAGCCCGAGGAGCAGGGAAGAAGAGGAATGAAGTCAGAGATCAGGGAGGCACTGCTCCCTGTAGGGAGGGCCAAGGGCCATCTTTAGCATTTGGGCTTTTAATCTGAGTGACGGTGGACTTTGTGCAGAGGAGGGACAAGATCTGACTTGTTCTGAAAGGCTCACTGGCTGCCTCTGCCTGTGTGCAGTGTGCGTGTGCATACACATTTACAAGGGCAGAAGCAGGAGGCTCGGGCCGGAGACCCCTGCCTGCAGTGGGGGATGGTGTTCTGTGGAGCTCGAATACACGTGGAGCATAATGTTAGACGCCGAGAGCACAATGGTGAAGCCGTTCAGACCAGGTCTTTGCCTCGAAGCTCTCAGCCTAGTTCAGTGTTTTCTCACCTGGGCAGTGTTAGGTCTGATCAAATGATTGAAGCAACACCCCCACCCCTGGGAGATCAGACCTAACAGGCAGTGGTGACATTGGGGCTGACTAGCTCTTGTTGTGGGTGGTGGTACGGGGCGGGGGGGGGGGGGCGGGGGGGGGGCCTCCACACTGTGGGTACAGTAGTGCACCCTTCCTCTGGATGTGGCAACGTCTCCAGCCACTGCCACTGGTCAAACAGGAGCTAGAAACTAACAGAGCAAATAGATATGTGCTCTTCCTTCCATAGTAACTGCAGGGAAGTGGAGGTCCGGATCATCTTTCTTCTGATTTTCCTTTTGTTCCTGCATCCCTTCCATCTCTCCCCACACACTGTGGCCATCTGTCTGGTTGATGTACCATCCCCCCATGCCCTTCCCTTCTCCCTCCATTTGCCTAATCCTGCCAGTCCCTCCTAGAAAGAAGTGGGGGAAAAAAAAAAAAAAAAAAAAGACCTTCCAGGGGACTCTTCTCCAAGGTAGGGAGTCCTAACTGCCTCTCTGTGGCTGTAACATGACTCCTTCTTCTGAAGGTGAGCCCTTCTGTCACCATGTCTGAAGTGGGCCTCAGTTCCAATTGGCTGAAAGGAACAAAACAAAACAAGATATTTAAACCATTTCCTTGCCTCAATCCCCACGTTTCCCACAACGGACCGAGGGGCCTGCTGCGAGCTTGAGGCCGATAACTCCATGGGTGCTTATTTTCATAGCCAGCCGAACAGGCTATCTCGGGCTGCAGCTTGCCCAGGCCGCTCCTCCTGCTGCTGGCCTGGCTGCGGGCCAGCCCAGTGGAGAGCCATGTCGGGGAGGCCAGGCCGCCGCTAGTGAGGGTGCCTGGGGAAGGGAGCTGGGGCCAGCCCTTCCTCTCCTGGGAGACCAGCTTTATCACCGGGGCTCTGCCTGGCTTCCTTCTGCCTGATTCTGTCCCCCGATTCTCTCCGTCCCCTGGGAATATGAAGAGAGACAGGCTTAATCTATTTCTATTAGCTCATTTCTTATTAATATCACCACGGAACCTGCTTGTTTAGGCCTGTGCTGGCTTTTCTATCCAGAGGCACAATGGTTGGATTTTTTCTTCCTTTTACTTTCAGCCAAGGATTCTCTACCTTGGCACAATGGGATGACTGGACCACATAATTCCGTGCTGGGGGGCTGTTCTGTGCGCTGTAGGATGTTTAGCAGCATCCCTACTAGATAGTGATAACCGCCAAATCCACAGACATGGTTACATATCCTGGGGGTGGAGGGGTTGGGGTGGGGATGGACAAAACTACCCCTGGTTGAAATCACTGATTTCAAGGAATATAAAAGCCTGATTTTAGAGATGGCAAAGCGACTCCCTTGAAATCTTGCTGAAGGTCTGTAGGGAGAGAGGAGGTTTCTCTGGGCCTTTGGTGAGTCTGATCTAAAATTCTCCCAACTGCATCATTCAGGGCTTAAAACTCATGGTCAAAGGAGCTGACCCCTTAAAGAAAACACTGACCATATGCTTCTCTTTTCTTTCTGTAGAGGCAAGTGAAGGTACAGGGTTTAGCGATGTGGAGTCCTAACCGGGTTGGAAGTCTGGTCTCTGGCCCTTGCCAGCTGTGTGACCTTGGGCAGCTCACTTCACGTCTTTGGGCTCACTTCCACGTCTGTAACCATGCTCCCTGCCCCCTGGAGCTAGTCTGTGGAAAGTGCTGATTTAGCCCAGGGCCTGGCTCACCCGGAGCATTTGGTAGCTGCCGGGACCCCTCCGTGCAGGGAGGGTTTGAGGAGGGCCACAGGAGGGTCACGGAAGCTCTCTAGACACAGGCCAGCAGCACTGGGAGGACCTCTTATCAGCCACATTCCATCAAGCCCAGGAATGGCCCTTAGTGGGCCTGCCCTTTTTGATCCGTCACTCACCCAGGATTCCATCTGCCACTATACCTTTGTCACTGTCCCCAGCGCAAATGCTGTTTTCCAGATAACTCAGATCTACCTGAATGCCAACAGCATTCCTCAAACAGAGCAGAGCTGCCAGAATAAGCCTGCAGCTTCCTGCTCTTTGCCCCAGAAAACATTTCAAGTGATCAAGTGATCAGAGAGAGGAGGGGAGGGAGGGGGAGGATGCTGCAGCTGCTTATGCAACAAGCTTTAATCCCTGGTTAAAATCCACCACGCGGCACCAGTGGCATATTTCGTTTCCTCATTGGGTCGTGAAGATTCATCACAAACCCAGTTGTGCCTCCTCCCCACCCCCCCACCCCCCCAAAAAAAAGTAGCACCGCAGAGACAAATAGTATTCCCCACGGAATGGTGGTGGAGGAAACACAGTCTGATTAGCTCTGGCCTACGACTCTTGTCCCCCATTTGGTCTGCCGGTACAGACAGAGCGAGCTTCCTACCCCAGGAAGAGGAGCCCCTCCCTTCTCTGGTGAGGCCCAGGCTTGTTGTCCTGAGTGCTGGTTCTCCCTGCATCTTGGCCTCTTTAGCCTAAAATACAAGGACAACAGCAACAAAATCCCCTCCCTTTTCATACAGCCTGGGCCCTGTCCCTGCAATACTGTGTGTGTGGATTCCTGGCTTGTTGCTGCTTAATAGAAGGCTCCCCAGCAGGAAGAATTGATGTACACTTGGTGGGCATTTGTTGTCCCTGTGTGTGTGTGTGGGGGGGGCGGGGGGGGCTGGAGGGGGGCAGGGAGAGCAAACCATCAGCTCTGTTTTCTTTGTGGGAACGAATGGCGTGGGACAGCAAAGAAAGCCCGAGTCCTTGATTGGGCCGTAGTTTTACCTCCTGGAATATGGCTGCCTCACCTCTGGAAGCTCTCTCCAGCCTCTGAAGAATGGTGTTTACTTAGCTTCCGTCGTTCCACTTGCAGTTTTAAAATAAATCTTGTTAATTAAGCAGCTTGTCTTGAAGAGGAAGGAAAGCAAGCATGGACATTTTGAGATCCTTTTGGCTTGCCTTTTTCTTCCCAGGGTGCAGACCAACTACAAAGGCAGCTTTGGGGAGCAAACAGGCAAAGACCACCTACTACTATTGAAATGGGTGGAAGTATAAGCAGCTCTGAAAAACCAGTTAATATTTTACTGGGGAGCAGTGCCAGAGTTGGGGGGGGGGTGGCGGGAGCTGGCAAGTATAGAGCTGTGTGTGAAATAGCTGTTCCATCTGCCTTCGGGGACGAAAAGAAGCCGTCCTCTGTGGAAATAAATTTCAGCAAGAATCCTTATAAAGCCCATGGGATTTGTCTGCCCACCGAGGGCCCAGCTCCCCAAGTACATACATACAGGGGTGATTGTGACAGGAAGGGCTAAGCAGTGGGTGTATGCCTGACTAATAATGGGGGTTCTTGTTCCCTCCCCGAGTTTGACATCTTTCTTTCTTTCTCCCTCTGGATTTAAATGGCTTCTCAGACCGAGAGGCACTGCCTGTGCCCTGGATTCAGAAGGTACACGCCTCCTTGGGAAGCAAAGGCGAGAGACAGCGGCTCACTCTCTCTCTCTTTCTGCATCTGCCGGGGGAGCTGCAGCTGGTATTTTTCCACAGGCCTTTTCTGCGCTCTCGGGGCCTAGTCCTTCCCAGCCAGGCCCAGCGTCCGAGAGAGGGTTAATAGGCAGGAAGCTGAAGGCATCGCAGGCTAATACGGAAGTCAGATTTTTGTTTAACTGACAGGTTTAGCAGGCCTCGGCGGCGGTGGGGGAGGGGACCGGGAGGGGAAGGGAAGTTTGTAGATCTAGGCATGTGGCCTGCTAGGAGCGCATTTGGCTTTTCTTAGGGTAAGGACGGAGAGGGGGGCCGCCCCTTGGCATCCTGGCAGGGAGGCAGGAACCCATGTTGGTTTTTCCTTTGCGTCCTGGCTGTGGGGGCTGAGAGGACTGTCTGTGCCGCGAGGATGGCTCTCTGGCCTGCTTTTCCAGGAGGCATTTTGACAATGACTATGCAAACTTGACCACTCTGCTCCCCTCCTCCCCTCTGCAGCCCGAGCCTCTGTGCTCTGAGAAGCCAGGGCTGCTCTTTAGGGATTTCTTGGGGTTCGCCTGTCCTGCCTGTCTGCCCCCCCAGCTCCCCAGAGGCCTGCCTCCAGCCCCTTTCTCCTGCCCCTTTGGCCCATTTCCTGGGGCTCCCCACTCCTCAGCTCCCCCCCTCCCCGGGTGAACCATTCTGCTGGATTGTTCTAGAAAAGGGCCAGCCTTCCTCCTAGCAGAGAGCCGCTTCTGTGGGGGGCAAGTGAGGGTGAACCCTGTCAGCTCACCCCAAAAACTCTCTTCCCAGTGGCATCTGGGCCTCGGGCTTTGCTGGAGCAGGTCAGGCTGGCTGCACTGGTTTGCCCGTGCTGGGAAATCTAGCCAGGGTGGGGGGGAAGTGCGTGCGGGGGCCCCTTTCCCAAGTTTTTCTTGCTGCAAAAGGCCTAGCTTAGCCTGTCTTTTTCTATGCACAGGATGGCTCTTGCTCACCAGAGCCTCACAAAGATAATCGCTCAGGAAGTGTTTCAGCCAATCCCGGGCCGCCTTACACTCCGATTTGCCGGGCCAGCCAATCGGGGATGAGCTCTTATTAGGCGGCCAGATCATCAAGCCGAAGTGCCAAACCCTTTTTCTGTGAGAACTAGGAGCCTGTCCTCCATGTTTTATAAGTATTGACATTACACAGTGTTAACAATGCATCCACAGAGGTAAGCTCGACTTTTTAACCATCTTTTCTCCCCCTCCCTCTGAGACATCCGAACTGTGGGCGAGCAGTGCGATTTCTCTGTGGCTGGCCGTGCCACACTCACCCCCACAGCACTTAGGTTAACTTGGAACTGTTTAGAGAGAATTTTTTTGCTTTCTTGGGTCACATGGCTAAGTAGCCATTAGCCATAGCTCGATTTTGCAAACTGGCAAGGGCCTGGCACACCTTTACTTCCACCAGGACATGGTGTTTCTGAAATAGTTTGAAGCTAGATCCTGGTATGCCAAAAAAGAAGCTGTTTTTTTTTTTTTTTTCCTCCTCTTTCTCTCTCTCTCTCTCTGAGCAGTTTCCCCCCTGCACTATTGTCTTCTCTTGTGTCACATGCCTGCTGGGGGAAGAAAATGGAAGGTGAGCAAGCAGGCTCCTCTCTGAGGAGAGCTCATGGCAGACAGCAAAGCAGGCAAGTTTTCCTCTCCAAAGAGGTTCTGGGAAAGCTGGACTAAGTTTTGACCAGAGAGGACGTGTGTTTTTAAACAGAACCAAGCCCTCAGCACAGCAGGGCTCAGGAGAGCTCCTAGCTCCTGGGGCCTAGGTGGGTGGTGGTGTCTCTCCATGGTCTTCTCTCCCTGCAGGGTTTCTTCACTTGCAACTACATTGTTCAGCCTTTTTTTCCTGACTTCTGTTGATAACAGAGTGTTTGGGCTTCTGCAAGCCAGCCTGCAGCCAGCAAATGTTTCTGAAAGTGTTTCCTAGGCTTTGGAGGAAGTTTTTGGAGTAGGGATGGGGAGTAGGGGTGGGGGTGGGGGTGGGGGTGGGGGTGGGGGAGATGTTGGACAACATCCTGCAATAAATCTGTGAGGACTCTTTTTTGGATCCCTTAGCCCTCCTATTCTTGCATGGTTTTCAATGAACTAATGTATCTTTTATCCTTTTCTTTTTCCTTTCCTTCCCCCCCCCCCCCTCATTGTATCATCTTCTGTCCTCCTGTGATAGTGCAGAGGAAATAAAATCACGTCTGTGGCTCATGACAGCATTCCCTATTCAGTTGTTGGGTTGTGTTGTTGTTGTGGTGTGTGTTTTTAATAATCCCATGTAACTGTTTTAAAAAAAATTTCCTTTTTGATCAAGTCCCAAATCTGCCAGCCTGTTCTCTCTTCTTAACTGTGGAAAAATGAGACGGTTGCTTGAACATGTTGGGTAAGTAAAGCGATCCATTTCCTCTGTGACCATGTATAAAGAGTTTGGCGAACATTTGGGGTCTGTTTATAGCAGGGGGTCTTGGCTATAGCAGTGGAGGGCTTTTCATTAGCAGGAACCAAACAAGGGCTTTTAAATAGTGTCTTGATTTTAGGTGACTGTTTGAATCCACTGTTTTTCCTGAGAACCTCAGCTAGGATTGAAGATTATACTTCCTGTTAACCCTCAGACAGGGGAGACATGTGCAGTTCATTGTGACTTGCCTGGAGACCTTTAATTGGGTTTGTTTGGATATTAGATAGAAGTCTGGGTAGGTGATCTGCTTGTGAAATATAAGAAAGTGCTTGTTCTTAAGAGTCACAGAGCCTTAAGAAAGTAGTGGGGCAGGAGCTGCTGGTGGTGTGTGTGTGTGTGTGTGGTGTGTGGGTGGTGTGTGTGGGGTTAGTGGTGTCAGTACTCAGGTTTTAAGATACTAACACTGAGTGCAGAATCCCACCCACCAGCAAACTTGGTTTGATTAAGGACTCACTGCAAAACAGATTTGGCCTCTTCCAAGTCTGACCCACACACATCTGTATGCATGCTTTCCTTTACTTATGAATTATTTCTTACTTTTTTCATTTCCCCTGATCTCTTAATGCTGCAGTTAGAACTTCAGAGTGAAAAAAGTGGACTCTTGTTTGGCGTTAGCTTCAGAATTTCCCTGGAAGTTCAGTGCATCAATTTCCAGCCTGGAGACCAATCCCGCATAGCTGTAAATGCTGGAAATATATTCAATTGCTGTGTTATGCCAACCTGATGGAGTCAATAATCTTTTTTTCCTTTTAAATTAGTGTCCAGCTTTTAGCACCCATGGGAAAAAAGGCTCATTTAATGGTGAGAAATGTACCAAATTCTAAGTTAAGAAAAGTCTGTGGAAGGCCAGCTTCTTAGAGTAAGATGTCAAGAGTTAATGATGTTTTATATACTTAAAACTGAACAGTTGGACTGCCCCACACAAGTCAGTTCAGACATTTAGCTATTTTCTTTGTTCTTGTCTCCTGACTGTAAATGGAAATTATATACTGAGGTTCGTGTGGCTTCCCTAGAAGCAATATCTAATCACAAGACTCCTGCTTTGGTGCCTTCAGTGTTTGCATAATGGCGTATTTGTTGGGCTGGAAGGAAACCTAAGGGCAAGGTATTTGTCCTCTAAAAGCTCACATTAAAAATGGCTCACACAGGTTTGCGAAGCCAAGATCTGTTTTCAAATGTGCAGCCAGCCCCAGCAAGTTCCCAATCTGGACCAAGCTAGTCACTTTTCCTGGGTACTGTGGCCACCACTAAGCCTGAGTCTGTAACAAGTCAGTTGCTTTCAAAGTAGCATTATTTCCCAGTTTCAGTTAGGGGGTAAACATGTCTGCATTGCAGCAGGACCAGGTAGGCACAGCAGTGCTGGCTCACAGAGCAGCCCAATGGGGCTCCTCTCTCCAGCTTTTGAACCAATAGACTGGGAGGAAAGGTTACAGATTGACAATGGCAGTGGCCGAATTGAGACTGGGCCTTCTGGAAATTTCTACCATCTTTGTTCCTTTTAGGAAAAACAGATCCACCAAGCGGAAGAGTCTCCTGCATTCCATTCCTAAGGCATTTCTCCCCCCTCCCCTTTCTTTTTTTACATCAAGGTAGAATGTTCTCTCTGCCACGTTTGAAAATTGCAGAGGAAGGGACAGAACATGGGGCTGTTTTCCTTTTTCCTTCTGCCTCCTCAGTCCCTAAAGAGGATGCACAGCTGCAAGGAACAAACACAGACACACTGGACCTTTTGATTCCTCTCTCCCCCCCTCCCTTTTCTTCCCCTTCAAGACCCTCCAGGATGGATTCACTTTCTGCTTTGGGAAATTAAGTGGCATTCACGTGGGGGGAGGGGGAGCCACTGCTTTTATTAGCTCCAGAAAATGGTCAGTGTTCCCTGTGTAACTGGGAATTAATTATATATAATCACTCAGTAAACTTTCTACGTAGTTTTTCTAATTGCCGGGCATGAACATGGTTAGCCTGTTGGAGCCCCATCCAGTTACTTTTGTAATTACTAGCTCAAAGATTTGAGTCAGAAAGAAGGAAACAATGGGGCATCTTGGATTATAAATTAAGGATGAAAACAATAGCACCCCCCCCTTCTTTCTTTCTTTTTCTTTCTTTCTTGTAACCCCTTTTCTTTCCCTGGGAGGACAGTGGCGAACGGCTTCAGGTCTTAAATAGGAGAGGAGGAAAGGACTCAATCTGTAAAAAGCCAGGGTGACAGGAACCCAGAAAACCCTGAAGGCAGAGGTAGGTTTTTTGAGTCCAACCACTTCACATGTGTGATCTCTTTGTTTCTTTTGCCTTTTCCCTTCTCTCTCTCTTGTAGCAGAGGCAACAAACATTTGTCAGCTGAGAAGCCCTAGGTCTGGCTTTGCCTCTGGTTGACCCTGAAAAGAAAGACCCTCAAAAAGTGCCTTTGCCACCGCACCGCAGAGATTTAGTAAGGGAATATGTCGAGAAGCCCTGGTGTTGCTCTGAAATGCAAAAAACGAGGATTCACCCCTGGCTTTTCAGGTTGCCTAGGCTATGGCTGCCCTTCCCCCTCCCCAATCTCCTTCCAGATAAACAAGCTGGCGGGAGCCATTTCAGCCCTGCAGCCAGCCAGGCTGCTAGGCTGTCCCTCCTCATCAAGATTACCCACCTATCGGCCGGCCGGCGAGGAGCCAACCGCCCGTCCCAGCCCTGGCACAGCCTTGGGCACCGTGCCCTCCTGTCTCCCCTGGAGCGAAAAAGCAGTCACCTTGAAACTCTCCCCTCCCAGCACCACGGCGCGGAGGCCAGTGCTCAGACCTGTAACCGTAGATTACATTATCCACTCTGAGGCTATCAGTTTGGCCTCTGAAAGCGGGTTTTGCAAAACCAGTGGTTAATTTTTAGGGCTCTGTTGGGGGTGGACCAAAATCTAATCTGTGCATTGGCTGAGCGAATATTTTACTGTTGTGTCCCTGCAGACTCCCAATTGTCTTTCCTTGATGCTGTCTTAGGACCGGCTGGGCATTTGGTGGCCGTGTTCAAGCTCATAACACAGCCTTTTGATTTTACCTCGGCCTCGGACTGGGGTGCTGCCCTTTAGCTGGGCTTTTCAGGTGCCCGCTGTCCTGGAAGCCCTTTCATTTTACCTAGCTCCTTTTGGGTATGGATGCAAAGCTGGCTTTTAATATACCAACAAGGGGAAATGGACTTCCTTCCTTCCCCTCGCCAGCCTGCTGCTCCCTTATAACATGTGTGTGTGCGTGTTTTGCACCGACACCTGTCTGTCCGCAGCTTCTGCCACACGCCTGCCTGTTTCCTAATCTTCAACCGCCTAATTCGAGGGCAGAGGGGGCCTCTTCTCAGAGCCTCATGGTGCAGGCTCAGGATCCGAAAGAGAAGGGTTTTCCTTAGGAACCTGTGACTTCACAAACTCCCCCCTGTCATTGCAGGGTTTTTTTTTTTTAAGCTTCTACACGTTGGGTTGTTGGTGCCCTCTGGTTGAGCGCTGCCTGGTTCAGATCTTTAGGAGGGTGGCTTGAAAAGTAGCAGGGCTGCCTAACCACGAGCTGCAGCTATTGAACAAACTGCTACCATTTTAGCTTCAGCCCAGGAATGAGGGAGGCAGTGTTGCCAGACGCCATTTTAAGAATCCTGCATAAATAGCTTAGCTACCGATGACTCTGCCCGTTTTAGGTGAGTGCTTATATAAAGCTGCTCTGCTAACCGCCCCCCCCCCATTAAAACAAAATGAATTGCAGATTTAGGGGAGCATGGTTTTTAAAATTTGATGTTGGTTATTTTGTGATCTAGAAGAGGAAGGTGTTGTGTCTTGGGGATTAACTATTTTCTTACAGCCTGGACCAGTTTGGGATTCTGAATGAAAGTGAAAAAGCTGAAGGAAAAGTCCTTTGGAATGATGCATGATTCTTTGAATTGCTGCGGGGTGATCCTCAGCTGTAGAGCCAGAGTCTCGTGCATGCTGATTGTATATTCTAGATGGGTTTAGATATTCTTGGTTAACAGTCAAGTAGTAGGGACACTTGGGGGAAAGAAAGATCTGGGCATTGTGTATCCAGGCATTTTTCTGTTAAAACTATATGTATATATATTTTTCTCTCTCTCCCTTTTGGAAGTGCTCAGGGGATGGGATTCCTGGGAATTACGGACCAGCCTTGAGTCCTCAGAATTAATAATCAGAAGGCTTACAGCATCCTGGAGGTGCAGCAGTTCATCTGCAACTTTTAATTGCTCTTTTTTAAAAGTGCATGCAGGTTAAGAGGGAAGCATAGGTTTTCTTGCTCAGGCATTGGGAGAGAAATCTTTTATTCTTTCTGGGACTGGCTGGCATGCCCTTGGTTATATTTGCAGGCACTGTTATTTCTTGAATTGTCTGAACTGTATCAGTTTGTAAAATCCAGAGGCAGGTGACTTGGGTAAATGTGAGTGTAAGAAGTGGTGGTGGTAACATTTGTATACAACTAGTTGATGGTGAATTTTCCTGTGGGGGGAGAGACGGTAGTTTGATTTTCAGCTAATATTACCCCTTTCCTCATGTGGGTATCCTCAGCCTTCCCTGCAGATTTTAAAAGAAAAGAAAAGAAAAAGTAATGTCAGTTTGAAACAAGTGCTTGTTGTCCCCTTGTTTTTTGACCTAGGTAATCCCGGGTTGCTGGAAGCTAACAGATAGGGAAGAAAAGATGCTGGATATTTCCTAAGACTTTAATGTGTGAATAACAAGAGTTGAAAGCCCTTTCTGCAGATGCATCCACCTTTTCTTTTTAACAATTATGGTTATTTGACTGTGTGTGTGTGTGTGTGTGTCTGTGTGTGTGTTTAATCCAAATGACTGAACAGTTCTTAACCTAAATTGACCAAGATCTGTGGGGCATTCAGACAGGTACAAACCTTTTCTCACCACCACTTTTGATGTAGTATAAATAGATTTTCCCCTAATAACATACTAATATTTAAAACGAAGCCAAAAGAAAAAAAAAAAAACAACAACACAGCAAACCTGAGTTCAGTGGTGTAGAAAAAGGAAGTCCCTTTAGATGTGGCTATGCAAAATGACTAATTTTGCATTCTGGTCTTTGCTTTTGTAAATGATTCCCCCACCCCCCCTCTAATGCATAGACACTGCAATTTCCTTTAATCAAATACAAATTATTGTATGCATTGTGGGCACATACATGTGCATGTACGGGTTCCCTTTGCAATGATGGCTTGCTGATCGGTGAAAAAGATGGTTTTCTGAAATTGTTGTGCTCAAAATCCTTGCTAAAGCTGGTGGTGCTATTGCTAAAGTTAGGTGATTATGGTGGCCCACTTGCAGTACTTGGAAAGATAAAACAGCTTAACCCCCCCCCCCCCCCGCCCCTTGTCTGCTTCAGAATTGATTATCTTAAACTCAGCAGCAAATAGCCCCTACATCACTAGTTTGCATTTTCTTAGCCTCATAACAGTATTTCTGCTGAAAGTATTCAACTCCTCTAGGCTGTTACAAGCCAAATCATTGTTCTCTTGAACACAGCCCTCCTCCATGATCCATATACCTTTGAATGTCTTCATCCCTGCAGAAATACTTCCAGTGGGCTTTTGGGGCTCTGTTATGCATACATTGTTTCTTTCACGACCAGACATTTTGGTTGGACCCCAGATTAGCATTTTTCTCTGTCACTCCAAATATGGGATTGGTTTCAAGAAGTTTAAGATTTCACATACTTCATGCTAGAGGGGGAAACAATTCTAGTTGGTAGAAAAGATCAAGGTGGCTATTTGTTCCTTTGAAGTGGACCATCTATCCAGCTCTGAAGGCTGCGTGGGGCTTTTTAAAATTTATTTCCAATCACCCCAAGCAAGAAACCATCACCAGTATCTATTTGGACAACCTGTGTGTGGGGCAGGCAGGGTGTGTTTCTGAGTTGAGAATGTGTGCCTCTTAAGTTGGAGTAGAAGGTATTAGTGCTAAAATCACCTTCCACCGTCACCGCTGTATTATTGCATGTTAGCGATGTGTTTAAATGTAAAAGGCTGCTTCCTTCTGATGAAAACCGTTCGTGACAATCTGTCAGTTGTTTCTGGTGATTTGTGTCACAGCCTTTCTCTACAGGTGCAGTGCAAATGAAATTGTTAACGGGGTTCAATATCAGAGAGCGAAAGGTGTTAATATGCTGATTTAAAACCAAACTACCTTTCTTCTCAGTGCTGGCACTAGGGAAGTTTGAGGCCTCCAAGTTCTTACAATTTAACTCTAAGCCATCATCTCTTCCTTTCTATGTAGTTCCCATTTTGATGAACTCTCTTCCCCCAACAAACATGGAACTCCCCTAAACATACCTCCATGTGACAGGCCTTCTTGGACTCTCTTGTCCTAGACAGTCCCAGACTACTGAATGCAGAACGACACTCATCCTACCTCTCCTGCCCGCCTCCCTCCTGTCCTGGCTTTGAGTCTTCCCAGTGTAAAATTCTAGCCATAGCCATTGGGAACACACCCTTTTCTTGTTGAATCACAGTCGGGTGGAATTGCATTAGAGTAATTGTTAAGATTCTTTTTGTTGTTGTTGTTAAATCTTTACCTGAGTAAATTTTCCCCCATTGATTTTTAGATAGAGTGGAAGGGTGGGGGGAGGGGAAAGGGGGGGGGAGAGGAAGAGAGAGAGAGAGAGGGAGGAAAGGGGGGAAAGAGATGGAGAAGGGGGTAGAGAGAGAGAGAAACATTGATGTGAGAGACATATTGATTGGTTGCCTCCCACACACACTCCAGATAGAACCTGAAACCTAGATACGTGCTCTTGACTGGGAACCTGAGACCCTTTGGTGCTGAGACCGACACCCTAACCACTGAGCAACACTGGCCAGGGCTGTTAAGATTCTTATCACTTCACTGTCAGCCCCAGAATGTTGAAGTTCTTCGTATCTCACCATTTGCACCTATTTAAGCAGACTTTCACTGGCTTGATTTAGGGGTGTGTATGTGTGTGTGTGTGTGTGTGTGAGATATAAAATGGTTTGTACTCTATTCAGTGGGAGTTCCAGAAGAGAAAGGGAGAGAAGATTCTGGTGGACCTTCCCAGCAAAAGGGGCCTGCTTTCTCTCGTCTCTCCCCAACCCCCATCTCTCAGCCTCTCTTTCAAAGAATCCTTCCTCCTTCCACTTTAGTGGTGGGGAATAATTAGTCACAGCTCAAAAGAGTGCCATTGCTTTCTCTAAGCCATGCCTGCTGCCCAGAGGACACATCCCTGGGGGTGGGGGATGGGAGTGTGGAGACCCCGGTCCTAGCTCCTGGGGTAAATGCTGGTGGCTTGAATGTTTCCAGACAAGGCTTTTTGCTTCTGGCCGGGGCAGATTTTTCTACTTTGCAATTCTGTACATTCCCCCCCCTGTTCCTGCCCCTTCTTGAAATTGTAAGATGCAGCAGGGAGATCTGAGAAATGCTGTTTGCCTTACAGAATTCAGACATCAGAACTCTGCATACCCTGCAAACCCCCTCCTACCTGAATCCGGTGTTAACAGTCAGACACTTGTTTACTCCAAGGCTGGGTGCTCATTGGCCCATGGGGGCAGATTGTAATTGTGTATCTAAAAAAATGCTCTTTGCATCCCCCACCAGCACGATAACTGGAGTAGTAATTTGACTTAAAGAAAGGACAACCCGGTGTCTTAAAAATACTCCTTTAGGAGGCATTACCCTTTGTTTGCAATCAGGTGTGGGTTTCTCCCCACCCCCACCCCCCCATCCCTCCATAAGGATGGGGGATTGTCTTAAAGTTGGGTTTGTCGTTAGGACTTCTAAATAGCTAGCTGCCCCCATGGGGCAAGTTCTCTCAGTCTACCTAAACCTGAACGTAATTTGCTCTGTTTCAGCTTGGCCGAGGAGGAAATCAAAACAGAACAGGAGGTGGTAGAGGGCATGGATATCTCTACTCGCTCCAAAGGTGAGTGAAAATCTCGTATTATCTATTCCAGATCAGAGGAGGAAATTGGAATTTCTCTTTCTTGTGGTGGTGCAGCCAAGTGTGGCTCTATGGGCCGAGGCTGCAACAACGCACCTCCGATTTTGAGCTGTGAGACCTTAGATGGATGAACCTGATTTATGGAGAAATCTCTTTCTGCTTTTCTTGCCCTTGCGTGTCTGTGCAGGTAGACCGACCTGTCGGGGGTTGTCCACGAGCACACGTTTTCTGTCTTGACTAAGGGTGGCTGGCTGCCTCTCTGCAGGGTGACTTTCAGGAACCAGAATTTAAATGAAGTACGTTCTGGAAGCGAGCCATCTCCAGCTGCTGCAGGTTCCTTATGTTAATAAACCTGACCCGTGTGGAATCACGGAAGTGGGAGAAAATGCAGGGCTTTCTGGAATTCGGGGGCCGGTATTTGCATTTAGGACAAAATTTAGCAAATTAGAGCAAACACAGTTGACGTTTCCTAATACAGAAACCTGTATGTTAGACTCCTCCAACTTCTAATGGAGGGGTTGGGACTTTCTGTTTGGTGTGTGTGAGATTTCATGAGGCTTCCCCGAAAGGGAAGCAGTTGCTCACTTTTGCCTCCAGGGTGCCTTTGAAAATGAGCGACTGGAGTACTTTTCATATCTTTGGTTGATGAAAATGCTCATCTCTAAACTTAATGGTTGTACCACCCTGTTGTTACTGCTTTGACGAGGCGCTGAGCGCCTGCTCTGAGCACTCAGCCTGGTGCTCTGGGGCACGGGGGAGGCCAGAGGGCTGGGGAGAGGGTTGTTGACAGGCTCACCCAGAAGGATTCCCATCTCGCTAGCTAGAGAGCCACACAAAAGTGGCTCCCTAAATGCGGCTGCAATAACAAAGGTTTTTGAGGATTTTTATGAGCTTGTCATTTTGGGCAGAGATAGGGGTCATCTCGCCTTGGCTGGGACCTGGGTCTGGGAGCTGGCTGTTGCTGGGGCTGGCCTGACAGATGGAGGATTGGCATGGTCCAGAGAGGAGGCGGGAGGCACCTCCTGTTGGAAGGCCAGGCTGCCCATGTGGGTGGTCTGTGCCTGGGGGGCGGGGGAAGGGAGAGAATAACTGCGAGAGGTTGGCAGGGTGGGCCCAGTCAGTGGGCGCTTCATCTTTCATCACAGTCCTCATCCAGCCCATGGGGGCCATCAGTGGGGGAGTTTTGAGCAAGGAAAGAACCTTCCTGAAGGGGTGTTGTGAGACAGAGGTTAAGGGATTGTGGCCCAGCCCCCTCCCGCCTTGTGGTCAGAGGGTGGAGGGAGAACCCAGAAAAGGAAGCTGGAGATGGGGTCTCCTGCTGTTCAGTTTCCTGTGGGGTTTGGACACCTTCTGTCTCTGTGCCTCCGTTTTCTTCTCTGTAAAATGGGGTGTTAGGTTAGATTCTAAAATTCCTCCCACCTTGGCCTTCTCCTGTAGAAAGAATACTCAGAGGGACCCTTTCCCTCTCCCCACGTAGGAGTCTATCTATTCTTCAATAAATTTCCACCTTTGCTAAAAAGAAAGAAAGAAAGGAAGAAAGAAAGAAAGAAAGAAAGAAAGAAAGAAAGAAAGAAAGAAAGAAAGAATACTCTGAGTATTTTGAAGGCTGTGCTTGGACCAGGAGCTTTCTCATACTGAATTCCTCCAGTCCCCATTTGACCGAGGTGTTGTTGCCATTTTGCAGATGAGAAAACTGAGGCCCTAAATGGCACTATCTCACAGGCAGTAAGGGGCAGACCTGAGCGAGGCTCTGACTCCAAGGAGGTGCTTCCTTCCTGGAGCCCCGCTGTGGAGACTTCTCCAAGAGGGTCAAAGGCGGGGTTTGTCACTGTCACGGGTCGGGGGCGGGGAGGCCTGCTTTGGTCAGTACACCCCCTTTCCCTATTGAGAATAGGGTAGAGCACCCTATTCCCTTTCCCGTAAGTGTGGAGACCTCTCTTCCACCTCCCTAGACATCCTAGCTCTTCACCAGGTGGCATCTTCCTCCGACTGCTACATGAAGTGTGACCACTGTCCCTCTTTCTTATCTACCCCACTCCAACCCTCCTCCTATAACAGCTAGGGCGATCAAAAAAGCATTGGTCAGATCTGTCCCATCTTGCTGAGTCCTTCCACTGACCTTCTAGTGCCCTGAGGCTCAAGTCTGAGGCCTCTATGCCCTCCCTACCCGAGCCGGCTTGTTCACCTTGTGACATTCTGTTTACCTCCTCCCCTGCCTCCCCTTGACTCCACTTGAGCTTCCGGGCCCCTTTCCCCTCTGTTTTCTCCTCAGGGCCCCGTGTGTCCTGTGCCCTTTGCTGGGAACATGGTGCCCTGGGTCCTGCTGCCTATTTCTCATCTCAGATTCATCTCTGACACCCATCTCCTTAGAGAGGCCTTTAGTGGCCATGCAGTCCACAGGAGCCGTTCCATCATTTTCTGTTACTTTTAGTAACAAACTTCTAATTTTAGATTTCCAGATAAGTTGTGAAAATAGTGCAGAGTATTCTCATATCAAACGCCCCCCCCCCCGAGTTTTCTATTATTAACCTCATGCATTAGTATGTTTCATTTGTCACAAGAAACCCATCGATATTGATGTTATTACCAACTAAAGTCCATGCTTTGTTCAGATTTCCTTAGTTTTTCCATTAAGGTCCCTTTTCTTTCTTTATTTCTTTTTTTTTTTCTCCCTGTTAATCCCCCCAGAGGATATTTTTTCCATTGATTTTGGGAGGGAGGGAGGGGAGAGGAAGAGAAAGAGAGAGAGAGAGAGAGATATCGATTGGTTGCCTCCTGCATGCGCCCTGGCCTACAACCCAGGTACATACCCTTGACCAAGAATTGAACCCAAGACCTTTCGGTGTGCGGGCTGGTGCTCTAACCACTGAGCAGTGCTGGCTAGGGCTAAAGTCCCTTTTCTGTCCCAGGATTCCACATAGGATACAACATTATATTTAGTTACACATCTTCTTCGACTTGTCTTGGCTCTCACAACTTCTCAGTTTTTGTTTTTGATGACCTTGAAGGTGTTGAGGAATACTCGTCAGGTATTTTGTACGGTGTCACTCAACTGGGATTTATCTCATGTTTTTTTTCATTATTGGACTGGAGTGGACTGGAATAATGGGGTTTTGGGGAAGAGGACCACAGAATAAAGTGCCATTTCATCACACCATATTAAGGGTGCCCATTATAAACGGATTATGTTGACCGTGACCCCAGAGGCTCAGGCAGCGTCTGTCAGTTTTCTCCCCTCCCACACTGTATGCTTTAGAAGGAAGTCACAATGCCCAGCTCACATGGGGCGGGGAGTTGTATTCCTCCTCCTTAAGGCCAGAATATCTACATAAATTACTTGGAATTCTTCTGTATGGGAGATTTGTCTCTTTTCCCAATTTCTTTAGCCAATCACTTATTTATATCATCATGGGCTCAATTATTTTCTACTTCGGGTTATACAGTCCTATACTAATTTACTGTGTTGCTCAAATTACTTCAGCTGTGGCCATTGGGAGCATTTCAGTATCCCTTTGACATCACTGGGTGGCTGACTGATTGATTGACTGATTAATGGAACACTTTTCTTACCTCCTGCCCCTGCAAGGTGCTTTAGGCTTCTCTTGCGTATTTTCTGTCCCAGCCCTAGCACTGGTCATTTGCCCAAGGAATCCTGCTTTCGTGCATTGGAGAATAGCTTTAGAAACCAGCATCCGAGTGCTCAGTGTGCTCCTTGCTACTGCTGAGTCTTTGCTCCTACGTCCTCTCAGCGGACAGCAAGGAAAAGGGTTCCTAGCCCATCTATATACACCTATCTATAGGTATTTCTACCTTTATAGCAAATTAAATGGGTTCATACACTTGTCTCCATTTCTGATCCATTACCGCATGGATCACTCCAGCCTTCTCCCCTTATCTGCAGCATTCCACCATCTGCCATTTGTTTACCGTTTTCTGGTACATTTTAAATCTTCGGTGTACAGCTGGATGAACTTCCAATACATGTGCACTCATGGGACCGCAACCCAGAGCAAGATAATTGAATATTTGCGGCATTCCAGAAGGTTCCTCAAAATCACTCCTGATTTTTTTCTTCATCTGCCTTGTCCATGACCTTGTAATTCTTTTTTTTTTTTTTTTTTAATATTTTATTGATTTTTTTATAGAGAGGAATAGAGAGTTAGAAACATCAATGAGAGAGAAACATTGATCACCTGCCTCCTGCACACCCCTACTGGGGATGTTCCTGCAACCAAGGTACATGCCCTTGACTGGAATCGAACCTGGGACCCTTCAGTCCGCAGGTCGACGCTCTATCCACTGAGCCAAACCCGTCAGGGCGTAATTCTTTTTATTTGTTTGTTGGTGGTCTTCTCTGCTAAGATGTAGGCTCCTTTGCTCCTCATGTCCTAGGCCCCCTTGCTCGACCCCTCCCTCCCATTCGAGATGCAGGAGGGCATGAAGACAAAGAAAATCCTCGCTTTTAGAGCCAGGCTCCTTGGGTTCACCTGCCAGCTGGTGCCCTGCCTCGTTAGGCTATTCTTTGTGACTCAGTTTCCCCGTATGCGTGGGGATGATGAAGATAGAGGGTTTCGGTGAAGATTAAATTTGCTCACACAGATGGAGTGCTCAGAATGGTGCCTGGGACGAGGTGGGCGCTCAGAAGTGTTAGCCATGGTTAGAACTGGCATGAACCGGCATGAGTTTGCATTGGTAAGCCTATTGGGTAGAGATCCTACGTACTACATTCCACAACTGCCCCCACTTACAGCCTCCAGGAGGAGGGCTTGGAGGTGAATCTGGAAGCTGTGCCCAGGTAACGAAGAATTGGGTAGGGTGACCTGGCAGGCAGGCTCAGGCCAGCTTCTTAGCCCGCGGGCCTCCGACGCATTGGAGAAAGATGGTCTGCAGCTGTTTGGACTGCTTCTCCTAGGGCGTCTGGGGCCCCTGTTCTAGTGGGGAGTTTGTGAACAGGAGGAGGGGTCACCTGGTTTCAAGGGTTT